GCATCAAGCCTATTTAAAAATAATTCCAGTGCGAGTAATTGGACCGGCGGGAGCTGTGAACACACACGCCCTGCTGGATGATGGGTCAACAGTTTCATTAATGGATGAAGAGATAGCCAAACAGATTGGAGCTACAGGGCGGTTGGACCCGTTTAAGATCACCGCTATCGGGAACACTACCCTCGATTCACCGGAATCCCGAAGAATCAAAGTATCGCTGAAGAGTCTCCACAGCAAAAGGGTGCCATTCAGAGCACGCACGGTTGAAAGCCTAAACTTGGGGCCACAGACTGTGCGTGCAGTAGACATAGCCAAGTGCAACCACTTGAAAGACATAAAGGAGCAGCTAATATATGACTCCGGCAACCCAAGGATCCTAATAGGACAGGACAATTGGAGACTTCTGATAGCCACTCAAATCCGAAGAGGTCCGCCGCACCAGCCAATTGCCTCGCTCACAGAATTAGGATGGGTGCTACACGGGGCACACACTAAAGCCCCGTATCAGCGCGTCCACGCGGCCAATGAGCTGCACAAGAGCGAGGAAACTATAGATGACCAACTCCGCGAATATTTCGCGCTGGAATCTCTCATTATCAATCCGAGAAGACCAGACTCCGACCCAGAGAAGAAAGCTGAAGATATACTAAATAGCAGCACCCGTCAGTTACAAGACGGGCACATAGAAACAGCGCTTCTCTGGAAGAAAAAGGATATCGAGATGCCTGGCAATTATGAAACAGCAATAAAACGGCTCGTTTCCATTGAAAGAAAATTAGATCGAGACGAAGATCTAAAAAGAAAGTATGATGAACAAATGAATTCCCTAGTACAAAAAGGATACGCTGAGATAGCACCGAAAACTAGCACACCGGGAAGAACATGGTACCTACCCCATTTCGACGTCCATAACCCAATGAAGCCAGAGAAGTTTCGAATAGTACACGATGCCGCAGCCAAAACAAAGGGGGTGTCATTAAACGACTTCCTGCTCACGGGTCCAGACCTACTGCAATCACTACCAAGGGTCATGATGCGTTTTCGCCGCCATAAAATCGCTGTCTCCGCGGACATAGCCGAAATGTTCATGCAGGTTAAAGTCAGACCTGAAGACAGAGATGCCTTAAGATATCTCTGGAGAGGGGATCGACGTAATGAAGCTCCACAGAAATATAGAATGACGTCGATCATTTTCGGTGCAGCCAGTTCACCCTGCACAGCCATATTCGCGAAAAACTGGAACGCTAAAAAACACAAAGACAAGTATCCAGAAGCTGTAGAAGCTATCATTCAAAACCACTATATGGATGACTATCTCGACAGTTTCCAGTCTCTGGAAGAGGCAATGCGAATATCAAAGGAAGTACGCGACATACACAAAAACGCGCACTTCACCTTAAGAAAATGGGTTTCCAACGCACCAGAAGTTGTAAAAGAATTAGAACCTGACCATGAAGCATCTGAGTCAGTCGATCTGGGAAACAAAGGAACCGAGGAAAAGATACTCGGATTAATTTGGAAACCGGGTACCGATCAGCTGAGCTTCAACCTAAAGCTCGCTCGACTTCCAATCAATTTGCTGCATAAAACACCAACCAAGGGGGAACGTCTCATACGGTGCGTGAAGACGGCACTATACACCGTCCTTCATGAGAGACATCCGCATGAGGAAGTATTAGCCACGCTGCTCTGCGAGGTGGAGTACACAGTAAATAGCAGACCATTGACTCACATCTCTGTAGACAGCGACGACGACGAAGCCATCACTCCAAATCACTTCCTTTTAGGAGGATCTGCGAGACTGCCGACACCTGGAGTATTTGATGAAAAAGATATGAATAGCCAAAGACACCGGCGACGCTCCCAGATACTCGCTGACATGTTCTGGCGGCGTTGGGTCCGAGAGTATCTACCGGAACTTCAAAACCGGCGGGAGGCCCATGGGCGAGGTCCCAATCACCAGGTGGGCGATCCAGTCCTCATAGCTGATGGCCAGTTACCTCGTAACACCTGGCCACGAGGGAGGGTGGAAGCTGTTTACCCCGGTGCGGACGGACAGATCCGCACTGTTGAGGTACGCACAGCAAACGGCCTAATCAAGAGGCCAACCAGGAAACTCGTGCCGCTGCCGAAGTAGAAGCAACGTCGCTCACCGAAATGGATGCAGCGCCGCTGTGAGAAAATCGTCGCGACGCTGCACGGCGGGAGAAATGTTCGCGACGGCCTAACAACCTTAAGAAACAAAATGATAAAGAATATTGTTTTATGTATTAATAGTGAAATTACCAAGAAAACTGAGTGAAAACGTGTATTAATATAGTTATTTAGCATATTTATAACTCTCAATATGTTTGTATAGAATGTCGTTTTGATAACAAGTAATATAAACAACTTTTATTATATACCAAAAAATCGACCAATCACAGCGCGTCTTATCGTAGAACTCTCTAGAAGTTTTTTAATTAACTGCGTAATAGATCATACTAAAAATAATGAAAATAATTTTATGTCCTAAAAGAGTTATAAATATGACATTGAATTAGCATATGGCTTATAGATGAAAGAAGTATAGGAATATTTTTGTATAATTAAACGCATTTCGTATTTATAGAAAAATTAAAGAATTAAAATGCCCAAATATTATGAAAATTTGGGACATTTCGTTTAATAACTTTTTACAATGTTAATGTTTTTATTAACCTTTATGATATACTAATAAAGTACCAGACTACCGATTTAATGATGTATAGCATGTTAGTGTAGCAATTAGTATTGTATAGAAAATATTGCAATGTATGCCATTTGTATAGTGAAAAGTTTATGCAATAAAGAGGCAAATGGAAAATGGCAAGCGGCTCACTGCAAAGTATTGCTCAAGTCTACCTTAGGGGCTCGGGGCCCAGTATCAGTAGTAGTGTGAAGAACTACCAGTGACTAGTGAAGTGAAGTGAGTGGTATCCGGTGGTAGCTGAAGTGACTAGTAGCAGTATATAGTGAATAGTGAAAGTGTTAGCTAGCCGAAAAAGGTCGTAACTGACATTCGCAGTTACACATAGTGAAAGTGTTAGCTAGCCGAAAAAAGGTCGTAACTGACATTCGCAGTTACACATAGTGAAAGTGTTAGCTAGCCGAAAAAGGTCGTAACTGATATTCGCAGTTACATAGTGAAAGTGTTACCTAGCCTAAAAAAGGTCGTAACTGACATTCGCAGTTACATAGTGAAAGTGTTAGCTAGCCTGAAAAGGTCGTAACTGATATTCGCAGTTACATATAGTGAAAGTGGTAACTGATATCCGCAGTTACACAAGTGATAAAATCAGCTAGTTTAGTTGATAATAGCTGCTAGTCAGTAGTGTTAGAAAACCAGCTACTACCAATAGATATTTGATACCACCGTACAATTTAAAGAAAGCTTTTGAAATATACAGTGACCAACCAATAGTGAACAACCGTAGTTTAACAACAGTGATCAATAAATAATAGTTATAAAATTTCGCGATTAATCAATAAGTTGAACCGCTGGCCACTACCTTGCTATTTGTATTTGTTAATCGTGCATTTTGATTTTAACTACAGTCCACAATATTTCAGCGGTACCAACAAAGACGGCGGTGAGAGTACCCACCGGAACCTATAGGTGTAGGACGTGAGCGACTCGCGAAGTATCTTCGACAACATTTACTCCGGAGAGTTTCGCCCGTCCGGCACAATAACTAAAATGTAGTATGATGTCCAGACTACCGATTGGTTTTGATATTAGTGAGTAGGTACTCAAAATATTATTACTATAATACCTAGTGGTGTTGAGAACAGTAGACCTCACGGAAAAGTTTTTTTTGGAGGTGAATTATCTGCTTGCTTTGCGCCACAGATTACCTCCTAAGGAGGTAATCTGTGCTTTGCGCATACTGTGTTCACGCGGCGCTCTCCGACAGCCGGTTGCGCTCCGCCCACTGCGGGACGCGCGGGTGAAAAACGAATTTGAAATCGTGCTAAGACCTCGTCTTAAGGTGACCATATTATCCTCACGTATAGGGTTGCCAAGTCTTAAAACCGAAATGCCGGACAGACCAGTCAGATTAGCCGGACATTTTGGTGAAAAAGGCGGCAAGTAAAACAAGGCTTTTGATCATTTACTATAAAATCTTCTTAAATTCTAATGAAATGAAAATAAAATTGAATGAATCACTCTGCTTTACTATTAATAATTCAATATTCATTACAATTTTAATTTAAATAATTGTAATAGTATGTGTGTAACTACATAAAAAATGTAAAAAGTGGTCAAATTTAAAGAGCTTAACAAAAGTCGGGTATGCCGGACACCGTCTAATTTGGCCGCACACGCAACCAAAAAGCCTGACTGTGTCCGACTTTAACCGGACGCCTGGCAATGCTACTCACGTACCTTATTATTTATCATTTCATTAGTGTTTTTAAAAATGTATTAACTTGTAAACCTGTTTTTTTTTTGCTAGTTTTGGTTCCAACTCTCTAATTTTGGCACAGTCTCTAATTTTTACAATATTCTTAAATTTATTGCAAAATAAAAAATAAAAACTTTTATTGAAAAGTTAGGCCCTTCAGCATCATCATTTTATGAGAATGAAACAGCAATAACTTTTTTTAAATTACTTCTTTTTTTGATGACTGATGAGCCTTGTCGCATTAAATCGACTGGACATCTTTTCCAATCATCCCTACAAAAATTTGGAAGTGTAGTAAATGAATTACACATTATTTATTTTTTGCACATACATGGTGTGATGGATGAACCATCACAATTTTTATTTAACATTTTTATTTAACAATTTTCAGCCTCAGTAAATTCATTTGAGTTGGAGAGGCGAAGACTAGTTTTATTTATTCCTAACCTTAACTTTGTTTCTTTTTTAAAATAATTACTTGATTACTGAATATCCCTTTTTTTTAAATATTAAGAAAATTATTCCCTTGTCCCTCAGAAAGTTAAGAAGATTGTCATTTTTGGTTCTACTGGCATGACTGGCCTTTGTGCAGTTGAAGCAGCCCTTAAGAAAGGTAAATATAACTCTTATTTTTTATTTACTTACAAGCAATTCGCCCAGACTGCGTACGGGTGATTTCTGAATCTCGATCACAGCGTCACTTACCGGGTCCAAATGTAAATTTAAACCATCCAGGAACCCACTCAAACGCACTCAAAAAATTTCATCAAAATCGTTGGAGCCGTTATATATATATATATATATATATATATATATATATATATATATATATATATATATATATATTACGTGTCACGTTGTTTGTCCACTTACTTAACCGATTTTAATCAAATTTGAACACCGTGTGCAGTTTGGTCCAACTTGAGAGATAGGATAGTTTCTTGCCCATGAGTGACCCACATTTTTTTTGTGAATTTAAGGACTTTTAATGCGACATGACAAGGGGTCGTCGAAAAGGGCCAGAACAACGTCTGCCTGGCAAGCTGGTACATATATATATATATATATATATATATATATATATATATATATATATATATATATATTTGATTACTTTTATATTACTTTGTAATATCGTATAATTCTAAAATATAAAAGGTAAATTTAAACCACTATTAGGATATAATTTTCGAACATAAAAATACTTATCTCTTTTACTTTGAGTTTGTGTAGAGCAACGACTTCTAAACACATTGGTCAATAAGTCCCAAGCCTAAGTAAGGAAAACATAATTTTTATTCAAAATTCAATTTTATTCATCAATATACCTACATCCTTCAACAGTTATACACTCCGTCCAGCGCCGCTTATAATACGATTTGTCCAACCCTTCAAAATACGCCTCAGTTTCGGCGATCACTTCTTCGATCGAGGCAAATTTCTTACCGGATAGTATTTTTTTTAGGTTAGTGAACAAATAATAGTCACTGGGGCTAAATCTGGCGAATACGCTGGGTGAGCAAGCAACTCAAACTTTAACTCTATTAGTTTTGCCATAGTGACAACTGACTTGTGACATGGTGCATTGTCCTGATGAAAAAAAAATTTTCTTTTGCATTTGAGGCCGTTTTTTCGCGATTTCCTCCTTCAAACGCACTAATAACGACGTATAATATTCGCTTTTGATCCTTTCGCCCTTCTGTAGATAGTCTATAAATATTATACCTTGCACATCCCAAAACACGGATGCCATAACTCTTCCAGCTGAAATTTGAGTTTTTGGTCGTTTTAGGCGGCTTTGACTCACTCACTAGACTGTTGTTTTGATTCTGGAGTGTAGTGGCGAATCCAAGTTTCATTCATTATGACACACCGCATGAAAAATTCCTTTTTCTTCCGCCTAAATAACTCTAAACAGCGCTCTGAGGCTTCAACACGTTGATGCTTTTGATCAACCGTAAGCAAACGGGGTATCCACGTGGAACAAAACTTTCTCATAGACAAATGCTCATGCAAAATGGTGATTGCACTTTACGATATCTTTAAGTCATCGGCTATCTTTTGCAATTTAATTTTACGATCTTCCAAAACCATTTCGTGAACTTTTTTTATGTTTTCTGAAATAACAGCCTCATTTGGGCATCCAGAGCATTCAGCATCATTTGTGTCTGTTCAAATAGCGTAAATACAGTAAAGCAACATTTAACTGTTGCTTTTGATGGAGCAAAGTTCCTATAACACTTGTCAAGCCAACTTTTTGCTTCAACGGTATTTTTCTTCATTAAAAAATCATGTTTAATCGGCAATTCTCTTTGGTCCATTGTTTCAGAAATTTTTATTGACACCAAAAATTACAGTAACTTTATAAACAAATAAATTAGAGGTTATGAAAATTTTGCACAGATTATATTATAGAAGTCAGTTCTATTAAAAATAAAAATATTTTTTTCCGGCGCCTTCTATACGTCAGGCTCGGGACTTATTTACTGACGTAATATGTAGTATAATGTTAGCAAATGGAATAGAATTTCTGAATTTATAAAAACTTTAGTATCTTATTTTTTAATTTTCAAAGCTACCCGCCGATTACAGGTTATATCATCAACCGGATGGAGCAGTACAATAAGCAGACTGCACTGAGTACTTTTGGTTTTCAAAAAAGTAGCGTTGGGTGTTTGTGCTGTGCTAGTCTTCTTAAAATGCGTCAAATATTATGACCAAGACTTGTGAAGGAGCAATTTACCCAGTCCAACAAAGATTTAAGACCACATCTTCCTCTAAAGGATAATGTTACCACAATATATAGATTCATCACAGTATCAACGTAAACGTGGTAGAGTCATGCTGCAGCTATATTATAATTGTAGCACGTATGGGTCGGCTCGACCGGGGTAGTACCAGACTCTCACGGAATACCAGCGTAAATTAATTTAATTCTGCTGTTTTTGATCGATGTTTCAGATATTTTCCATTGTTGATTATTCTGCTGTTTTTGACCGATCTTTCAGGTCTTTTTCATAGTTGATTATTACGGCTCGCGTGACGAAATAGGGTGATAGGTTTATTTTACCGCCAAGTCACAGCGATGTACGTATTATCCTTTGTTTCTGTAATTAATATCTTTTATAATAAATTTCTGATCCTGTAAATAAGTTAATATTCATTAATTCCTTAAAGCCTTTCAAAGTCCACATAAATATAAGTTTTCCCAAAAATTGCCTCATTAGGGTAATATTTGCTATAGTTGCCCAAGGAATGCCACAAAACACGATTCCAAACCGCCTATATTCAAGCACACGGTCCACCTAAGAGAAAGTGTATGCTGTGGCCCATAGACAACATCTATCTTCGATTAAGAATCAAAATGTGAAGACATGTTGTCATTCCTGAGGTCTAAGGTGGAACACGTTGTTTCAAGTAAAAAAGGTCCTCGATTCGATATGTGGCTCATATAAAGCTGACGTACTGTGAGAATCCTACTCTGATTATAAACATCTATGGTTGGGTGAAAAACGGGAAGAAAGACTTACTTATACATATATAATAAACAGCTCTCTGACCTCTTTCAATTTCTAATAGTATGGTTTTAGGAGATCCACCCCAGGCAGAAATACTGTAACTAAGTTGTGACTGTCCAAGAGCAAGGTAATCCGATTTTATTAACTCTTTATCAGCAACAATGATATATAAATAAGTTAATGTGTTACTGTAAACTTAATCTACCGTCCATCATAATACCCAAATACTTAACCGTATTTGTCCTTTCTAGACTAGAACACAAACAGCTGGAGTTACTGTAACTCGAATATGTGTGTGATATAATTTTATACTGGTTAATTTCCTAAAACCGAATTGTGTTGAAGATAGCAATTGGTGTTCCACAAACTAGATTAGACACATGATTTTATTTTATTACGCGGATCTTAGCTAATTGATTTTTATCTCTATTTTAATTAAATAATTGATTTCCGCAAAGTAACACCGTTCTCTACTTTTTGAATATTTTGTTATTGTTACGAGCTTGGGGTTCGTGACAATTTAAAACTGCCAATTGAATTACCAAAATTGACACTTTAATTACCGAACAACAATTACGAATTAAAACATACAAACGATAAAACACAATTCGCATTTATATTGATTTGAAGTATTCGCTTGTTTCGCCAATCCAATACTTACTCGGTCGCGGTCCCTTACCGGTCTTATATACGCCTTCTTCTACTGAAACATCTAGAATGGTCGAGTATATACCGGTCCCGACTGACTAGGTGTCGAAAGTTCTAGTATGGAATTCTCAAGAAGGATTAGTTCTGCTACTTGATACTGTAAAGTTAGTTAAACATCTTCAAGATGTTTAACTAACCTCTTATTCATTACTCGGTGTAGGATTTGGAAATTGTTGAAAGAATGGATATGGGTCTGTAATTGTCGACACAGTCTCTATCATCACTCTTATAAATCGGGTACATTTTCGACTTTTTAAGTGCTATGGGGGTTTTAACTAAAATCTTTTTATTTTCTTTTAAAATGTCTACGAAGATCATTTCCTATCCAAAGTACATTCGCTTTTAAGATTAGGTATTAATGCTCCTATCCATTTTTCGAGAATAAATGAGGGTATGATTTTAAGATTTTTGAATGATCATGAGCAGTTGTTGTTTTAATTTTTTTCGGCTACTGATTTAGTTTTACATTTGCAAAGTAATTGCTGATACTGTTTATAGATTTTAAGGGATCTTTTGTGTTGATCAGTTCAAAATTAGAATTAGAATACTAGCGTAAAACAGCAGAGTTAGCAATACGCTGTTTCGTATGGTGAGTGTAGAAAACTGGATTTTACTGGAATCGAGACATTCCGTCTTAGTCCTCAGGAGTGACAACGCATTTGGATTTTGAATCTTAATTGAGAATAAATGTCTGATGTGTCGGACGTCTATAAAAAAAGGGAAATCTATCGATTATGCGGTATTTGTGATTACTTTATTAGCTTTCCATAGTTTCTTGTCGTTTCTATTTACACTTTTTAGCTGTAGTTGTTTCAATTTTTTTATTAAGGAGGAACAAAAAATTTTGTATCTCTCTTGTAGATAGTTTGTAATTCTTCTAATATAATTCTCTAAATTTGTATCATTGTTAGGATCTTTTTTGAGGTTTTTTTTTTCAAGGTTTTCTCGATTTTTTAAACATTTAAGAATAACTGAAGTTATCCATGGCTTTGATAGTCATTTTCGTGTAAAGGTTTTGATTTATATAGTATTACGTAAATTAGTAAAGTAGTACGTACTAGTCGTTCACTTCAAGAATGCCGTTACCTCCCGCCGCGCCCCCTTATTCCGCGCCTTAAGCGTCGCCCTTTTTAGTACCGATAGCAACGTCGAAGTGTACTTACGTCCGTTTTTTATGCTCCCGTACGTTCTCTAGTTTGTTACTGTTTGTGCTGTTGTTTTTGTTACTGTTGATTTTTTGTTTTTGTTTCAGTTGTGACAGTGACACAGAAACAAGCGATTTCGAAAATCTTTAATTTGATATATTTAAAATGTAAAATAAAACTATAAAAAAATATTTTATTTTATCGAACACGTTATTATTTCATCATCATCATCATTCAAAAAATATTTTATTTCATCGAACACGTTATTATTTAACTTTATTGAAAATATGAATACCAAAAAACATAAACATGATGACTTTTTTCGTCTACGGTACCGTCAGCTGTGACGTCGTAATGGTCTACGACGGCAAACTCGAAATGAACGCGTAGTAGTATTACGTAAAGTTAAATTACTGAGTGTTTTTATAAATTACTGAAGTCTATAGCTGATAGATATTTAGAAAAAATTGTATGATTTATTCGATTTATTATTTTGGCAGGTTTATGTCGGAGCTTAGTAGTTAGTAGAGAGCAACACTACTATGATCTGTGCGTTCTGATAACTTAGTTCTCAGCATTACATGGTCGAGGCATGTTTTGCGGTGTGTCGGGAGGAAATGGGTCGGAAGGATACCATGGTATGCCAACATGTTCAAGTTTTAGGAGGAGTTTGGATCTGAACTATTTTCACATATATCAATCATGTTAATGTGTCTTAGTACTATAACATTCTGTAAACAAGAGTACTTTATTAACAAGTTATTTAATTTCCTATGTATTTAACTTATTGAAATAATATCGAAGGGATACTACGATTTAGTGTTAGGGTTTCTGTGTGTGGTAGGGCCATGCTCCGGCGTATTGTGAAGGGAAGTACCAGGCTATCACAGAATACTAGCGTACAATACGATAGCATAATGGTGGTGTATTTAGAATGATTAGTGACAATAATAGGTAATCAGTTTTACTGATAACGAGGCGTTCTCAAATGTGACAGCGTGAGGATGGTTGTAAGGTTCTATGAGATATGTTACGGCAGACTGTAGAATAAGCGCCACCCAGCAGTGAACATATCTTTGTCTATTTATTATAATAATTGCTTTCAACAGGTCTACAAGTGCGTGCATTTGTCCGCGACCCAGCCAAGATTCCCGATCACCTGAAAGATAAGGTGGAGATTTTCAAAGGCAATGTCCTCGAACCCGATTCCGTGGCCAACGCGGTGGAGGGCACCGATGGCGTCGTTGTAACCTTAGGCACCCGGAATTCCTTGGCGCCGACCACCGATCTATCCGAAGGGCTTAAAAACATACTAGATGCAATGAAGACCAAGAATGTTAAAACTGTAACCGTATGCTTATCTGCATTTCTCTTTTACAAGCCGGACGATGTGCCTGGACCTTACGGTCCGTTGACCGACGACCATAGGAGGATGTATGAAGCGTTGAAAGAGAATCCTCTGAATTGGGTTGCCGTATTCCCTCCCCAAATTGTAGGTGAGTTACTTATTATCGCATTATATCACAGAAACATTCACAGACTTAACACAAAAGCTTTTGAGTTAGGAGAGCTAAATAAAACAACTAGGTTATTGTTTACCTCACTATCAAGTATGGGCGTAAAATAAATACTCGTATATATTATGTAATCTTTTTCAAATATAATCAGTTCTTGAGTTTTTTCATCAAGAAGTTCTCAGTCAGTTCCGGAATCAAGAACTTAGCGGTGTTTCACCCCAATTCCTCGATAATCATGTAAAACCGTTTGTCCTGGTCTGATTGGTCGTGTCGGTTTACCATCGAACTATGAGAGGGAGGGAATAGCACCTGTGCTTGCGATGGCTAGTTTCCGTTGAGGCTGGCCGCCGCTACACGGTTATTATGGTAAATGAAGTAACCAGGCAATAAACGTATAATAAGTTTATGAAACAAATTATAAACATTATTTAAATATTTATTTAGTTGCAAATTAGAGCTAGCTCTGCATTTGTATACTAATAGTACCTTACCTTCGCTGTATGATTGAATTCTCGCGCAATGTGAATTATAAAATTATTACAGCCATCTTTACCGGTTTTTTGTTTGCAGAGGAATCCAGCCGTGAAATGACCGTCGTGATTAATCCGCAGAAGCCACCTGTCGGTACCATCACCAAGTGGGACCTCGGTACGTTCATGATTGACGCTCTTTTCGAGTCTAAATACTACAAGGCTGTCATTGGGTTGTTCAATATACCTAAGTAACAATATTGTAAACTTTGAATAAAACTATTATTTACGGATTTTATCGCGTTTAATTACTTTAATTTATTTTTGTTATTAAATCGGACCAAAAATTAATATTAAAAAAAACTGAAGGTAGCCGGACTAACTATGATATTGGGACGTTAAACATCTCAGTCCCCCCTGTGACCATGGGTGCTGTAAAGCACCCGAAATGTCGGGATAATAATAAAAATAAATTAAAGTAATTAAACGCGATAAAATCCGTAAATGATAGTTTTATTCAATGTGTAATGTTCGCGTAAATTTAAGAAATCATTGGTATTGTAAACTTGTTAACACAGATAATAAATTCACTCGTCGGCGGAAATAAGAGAATAGCAAAAGTATATTATAAGTTACTATATACATACTTTTAAAAAATGTAAGAGCAAGGTCAGACACCTTGTATGGTTTTGTACCACAGTATAATCTGTGCCGTGTGCCGCCATGTTGACTAGATGCAACTGAGTGACAAATGACAGCTCAGCGCTGCTAGCGCCAACGTATGTGGTACTTTTTAATTTACATCTAAAAGGTGCCCCAGTCCCGTTTTAAACGAAAAGTTTCGCCTATAAAATGTATTAATTATAATATTATGTACTTTGCCATTCGTCGCGATATATCAAGATTGCCACCGTTATGAAAACATAATAAAACTACGTACATGTAAAAAAAATGTAAGTACAGCCAATCACTGTACAGTACAGTACAGTCCTGTTTTAAATATGAATAAAATATGAATTTAATATTGTCTGTAAATTTAGTGAATAAGTGAATATAATACACATCATGCTATTTGTAACTCGTCCCTATATGTCGGGACTATCACCGTTATTGCTAACCGATGGACACAGAAGTGTCCTAACGAAACTACTCTCGAATAGTATTTCTTTTTACGCGTATTTAATTAAAAAAGTAATTTTATTAAAATAAAAAAATACTACGAATACAAATGTTTTATTTTCCTTATATTAACATCTGCATCCAAATATTGAATATTTAAGAAGTATAACAGAATATATAATTTATAAATAAAACTGAGGTGTCCATATGCAATATCGAAATATTGACTTATATTGAGCTGAATTTTAAAAATGGTTATTCATGTTTCAATGAATTTGAATGTCATTGAAACATGAATAACCATTTTTAAATTTTTTCCTGTCTTATCTATGTGTCTATCCCGGTGAATCTTCGTAATGGCTGAACCAATTGTAATAAAACTTACTTATATTTTATCGGGAAAACTTGGAGCTATTTAAAAAAAATATAAATAAAATAACGGTCTTTTAGAAAAAGAAAATATAATGCCATCAAAAACATAACTTGAAAAAAACCCAAGTCTCGCAACTCAATTCTTCTACCGTAAAAAGTTGTGAGATTCATGTAATACCAAGTCGGTTAATTTATTCAGTCTTTACTTAAGGGTCCTTCTGTTTCAAGTTAATACGTAATTAGCTAACCTAACAAGATTTTATAGTGACCATATCAATGTTAAAAATCTTTTATGCTTCAAATAAATAGATTGACTTGGCCATCGCAAGAAAACACAACGTATCTCACAAGTAATACATATTATATTAAATTAGATTGCTTAGTGCGCACCTTCTTGAATACCAACAACGAACCTATCTACACCTATTATACATATTATACAAGAACACCGATTCATTCACTGCAAATGTAACTTTGTAATTCTATATATTTATATGGGATTACAAAGTTATTTATGCAGTTGGTGTATCTAGAAAACTGGACCGAAATTAAAAAATATTTTAGTTTTTGCTTGGTTTATACACTAAATTCTAATTGCATTCTAAATTTGAAGCTTCTATGTCTGCTAGAAGTGCCTTAGAATTTTGATGATCGGTCAGTCAGTGAGTGACAAAATTAAGAAACTTTGACTAGTTATACTTCTTAAACTACAGGTTCAAATTAAATGAAATTTGAAATATACCATGTTTATACAATGCCTACTAGGTTACTGAAAATTCAGGCTTCTAATTTTATCCACTACGAAATTATAGGGGTCAAAAATGGCCTAAATTGCTTCGAGAAAAGTATGGTACGGCCGTGCCGCTTTTTTGCTCGACTTGGCGGGGGCACTGCCGTGCCCCCAGATTTATATGATATACTTAACGTTTGTAAAAAAATAAAATAAAATAAATACGTTTTTATTGCATCTCTCTCACAAGCAATCGAAATAGAATTATTTGATTGCAATCGAGTAAAAATCTAAATTCCTACATGTTTTTAACCGTCTACTGTGTTATTTAAAATAGTTACGGTAGCAATTATTCTAATTCTATGTCAAAGCTATGTTATATTTTAAATGAATTAATGAAATATACTTTTTTGTGTACACCAGAAAAATATAAGAGAAAATAAAACAACAATTAAAAACTATTTAAAGGTACAATTAACGGCCTTATTGCTTAGAAGCGATATCTACAGGGCTACTGTGGAGATGACGTGTGAGAAAGATAAGGTAAGGCTTGTGTGTAGGTAGGGAGTAGGTTGTTGTAAAATACACACGACATGAATATTAATATGTACTTGATAAATACATACATAATAATGCCCTCCAGACCGAATTTCGGTCACGGCGCCCAGCCTCAACGGAGACTTGCAATCGGCGCAGGACAGGATTATAATGACCAGATGTATGCGCAAGCACAGGTGCACTCTCTGTCTCTCAAACCGACATGATCGGAGAGGATCAGGTGCAGGACTAACGGCTTTACGTGCTTTCCGAGGCACGGGGGTGAGACACTGCCAGCTTCCTGACTCCGGGTAGCTACTGAGAATTTCTTGATGGAAAAACTCAATTAGTGATTTTTTGGCCCGACCCGGGATTCGAACCCAGGACCTCATGATCAGTAGTCGTACTAATACAACCACTAGACCAACGTATATATATACGTATATAACGTGTGTATATATATATTATAATTAATAAATACATTTTAAATTAGAAAAATATAGAAATACATATACAATCCTCGGCCCCGTACTCCCTATACTCTTCCTATACCCTATACCTGTACCTACTCTAACACCCCTGTGCCACGGAAAGCACTCTCCGCTCATGTCAGATTCCCATGTTATGAGAATGAGGGATTAGAAAGTGCGGCTGTGCTGGCACATACACTCGGACACTGTAATCCTCTCTTGCGCAGATGGCTAGTCTCTGTTGAGATGTGTGACGAAAATCCGGTCGGAGGAGATTATCATGCTGTTAACTACAATTGTAGATGCTGAGTTACCACGTGCACAGCGGTAAGGAAAACTACGTGAGAAAATCTGCATGTTGTAGGTCAATGTGTTTGAGGAATAAAATATATTAAAGACGTGTGAAGAAAGGATAAACAAGTAAGTGAAATAAAAACCTCAACGTAAGGAAAAATTATTTGGTAGTAGTTTAGCAGTGGAGATAAAGATATGACTTTATAAGGATGAAAAAAATGCGCTGTGACAAGTTTTTCAAACCTTCAGTAGATTGCGCACTTATAATGTACATCTGTAAGATGTACGAGGAAGAACTTTAAGAAGATTATTAGAAGGATGTGATAAGGGACGTAATTTTTGGGTGAGGTTTTTATCAGAGCGAAGAGAGCCACAGTAAGTGGCACCAAGAAACTCAAAGCGCTCTTTGAGATTAGCAGGATAAGTAGGATTGAATAAAAGAGAAAGAAGGGGAGTGTTCTTGCGAAGACAGATCGGAAGCCACTTGAGTTTTTCGCGAAATTCGGAGACATGATCATATTTTCTTTGCTTTGTGTGGTTTAGTAACTTCTCATTTAAATTGAGATAACACGTGTCAGCATATTCGAGAATCGGTAAAAGAAGTAATTATGCAAGCGCAATTTTAGTTGGTAGGGGTAAGAATTTGCTTAATCTACGTGGAGATCAGAACGAAGCAAACATCCTCCAACTCACCTCGCTTTGATAGATTGTTTTATAAAAAATCGGGAAATTTTGTTTCACATGGCAACCCTTTATTCCACACAAACACTTGTACTGCCGATAACTGCCACGCTAATGCAATGCATCAGTGGCATATCACTAAGAAATGACTGATTAAATAATTTCTTAAAAAAAATTCATTCCGCTTTCTTATATGGTCATGGTTTCTATTAAAAATATAATTTAGTGTGATATACGTGATATTGAGTAAGTCAAGTGATTTTATTAGACGTTTTGTATTAGTATAGACTGCTCGCTTAGATACGGTCGCCTTTATGTCGCTTTGGAACGTGCCAAATCTTCTCAAAAACGGCGACATCAAAAGTTGCCGCGGGTAGCGTACACCAGCAGGAAAATTTGGCATTTTCAAGGCAAGTCAAGGGATAATTACTATTTTAATATAAAATACGAGAGATTTTTTTTAAATTTATTGTCGTCAGAACCAACACCATTTTATAACATTGTAAAGTTAATAAATATTTACATTTTCTACTGCCAATCACTAGTTCTTACTTTATATGTCGCTACAATTATATGGACATAATATACAGGGTCATTTTTCAAAGAGCAGCCATTACTCCAGTAGGTACGCATTTTACAGAAATACAATGCATATATGTACATACATATGATTTTACAGAGATACAGTGCAGATACGTACATAATGTGTGTGTGTGTGTGTGTGTGTGTGTGTGTGTGTGTGTGTGTGTGTGTTTGTGATTTTACTGTGACGTAGGCGCGGGAGGCGAAGCTTGTTGTCTCTCGGCAGCCAGGTGTTTACTGTCACAGATTCCTCGTGCTCTCTGAAACAAAGATTTACTCATGGTGGCTAACTGTGAAGGATGGTGGTGAGAATCACCGTTCAAATATTGGTCTGTATGGGTCTTTTTTCTATACACAGTGTGGCTCACGGTGTTATCAGAATTCCGAATTATTAACGCATCTAGAAAAGCCACAGAATTATGAACTGAATTCTAGAATTTATAGAGTTTAGATGGTTCAAATCACAAATC